GAACCCACAGCAAATGAACCCACAGCAACTGAACCCACAGCAACTGAACCCACAGCAAATGAACCCACAGCAAATGAACCCACAGCAAATGAACCCACAGCAAATTAACCCACAGCAAATGAACTCGCAACAAATGAACCCACAGCAAATGAACTCGCAACAAATCAACTCACAACAATCAAACTCACAGCCTATGAATTTACAAATGAATCCTCAACAGACCAACATAAAGCAAACAAATCAGCAAATAAACTCAAAAGCAGCGAACACGCAGCAAATGAACGTGCAACACATCTCGCCGCAGAACAAAGGCAACCAAGCTGCTCTCAAAGCTGTCGCCAACCAGAGGAATGAGAAAGTGCAGAAGAGCAGAGTGTACAACAACACAAACACTAAGATGATGACGTCACAGAACCTGGCCAAGTTCCTCATACAGTCGACGTACCCCGTGCTGCCGTACACCAGCTTCCACAACGCCAGCCATCACCCCATGCTGAACCGGGGGGCCGTCTTCACCAACAGCCAGCTCATCAACAACCACCCCATGTTCAACAATCAACGCTCCAATGGCACATTTAATCATATCAACAGGTAAATCATTTTAAAGATGCCGCCGACACTGAGGATAACATTACCTAGTAGGTGGTATCGTTTCATTTTATATTTTGTGGCTTCTTTATAAAGAGTTTCCTGGTATTTTTATCTTTGTGTGGACCGTGTTTCCAGGCACATGATGAACGGAGACGACAACGATGTTGGTGGTGCGGGTGGTGCGGGGGGCGAGGTGGACGAGTACGCGGGCCTGATGACGGCGCGCGAGAAGCAGTGGCTCATCAACATACAGATGCTGCAGCTCAACACCGGCACCCCATACATACACGACTTCTATTACACCGTCAGTGCACCTTTTGTCAAAAGTGTCCATTTGTAATAGTTGCAAGTTTTAATCCGTTCCGTTCATTGGCAGGTATTCCTCGAGCGGCAATCGAATAAAGAGAAGGAGGGCATCAAAGAAGCACACAAAGCTAACCAGCAAAATCATCCCTTCTACAGCGGAGGTGAGTTTACTTCCATTTAACTGGTATTTGGTGTGTGATGTGTTGTGATCTGTGTTGTGATGTGTTGTGATGTGTGTTGTGATGTGCAGGGGTGAAGCAGGAGGCGGGGCGGGAGCGGCACAACTCGCACCGGCACAACTCCAGCAGCGAGGAGGCGGCGCCCCGACAGTACGTGCCCACGCAGTTCGAGAACTCGCTCGGCAAGCTGCAGGTCACTTACTTGCTTGCTTACTTACTTACTTAGTTAGAACTGTGAAAGAGTTAAAGTAAAGGTTGTGAATGTTGTGCGACATGTGTGCAGTGCGGCAGCGTGACGGCGCCGCGCAAGATAATCGACGTGGAGGTGGTGTCTGCCGAGCCCGCCTCCGGCCGCACCTCGCGCGCCCCCAGCGTCGCCAGCACCACCAACCCCGCCGAGGTCAGCAATACCAACCTACCTACATTATGTTATGTATCCCTCTATACTGACCTCATTTTAAAATAAAACTACACCTGTAAATCTATCTATATATATAGTAACTTTAACAAAATAACTAGCCAATGATAGGTAACACGTAGCTATTGGAGGGTTGTGGGTTGTTGCAGGTGCCGCGCGAGGTGCGCCGCACGAAGCAGGTGCTGCTGGACATCGAGGCGCTGTACGTGACGCTGCTGCGCCTCGAGGAGCTCAACGACCCCCTCGCCATCGCCAACGCGCTCATTCTCAAGGTACATTTCCTTTTAATATGCCTACATCAATCAAACTATATATTTGTGGCGACACATTTTCTTATATTATTATGTGGCAAGTGAGCAAAAGGGACCACCTTAAAACACCGAAATATCGAAGCGATCGCTGCCCAAAGACATCCCCTATTGCGCAGATGTGCTGCCTACCTTTATTTGGCAAAATAATATTTCCCGTTACTATGCGTCCACTCCGCTGTCGAATATATTTACCGTTCACATCAATCATTTCCTTAAACAGATAGTAGAGGAAAGAGTAGTAGTAATTGTGAGATAGAGTGACGTGACGGATGGAATGACACAATGAAGGTGTAGCTACTGTTGTACACTTTCAACAACATGTATATTAATGTTAAAATGTATTTTCTGGTTTACGAGGTTTAGCGTGAAAATAGTTTTATTATATATCATTGATTACGTGACAGGAAAGAGAAGAGAAGCAGAAGCAGCTGGAAGCGGCGCAGAAGGAGGCGATGGAGAACGAGGCGGAGGACGAGTCCAACCTGTTCCTCAAGAACATAGAGTCGGTGCAGAGGAGGCCCAAGCAGGACAGCCCCAAGAGTGAGAGCATAGACAAGAGACAGGTCGGTCAATAATTCACAAGTGAATTAAACGCGACTCGACTCACATAAGTCAGTTCATTGAATATAATCTGATTGCATTGATTTAAGTATTAGAGGTAGCCATCGAGTGCGTACCGAGTGGTAAGAAAGTAGTCTGTGTGCGTGCAGGTGGTGAACCTGGCGGTGAGCCAGAAGCCGCCGCCGGTGAAGAACCTGCTGGACGAGGACCGCGAGGAGCTGCTGGGGCGCATGTTCGCCGCGCTGCTGCACGCCGACCGCCTGCCGCAGATACTGGCCGTGCGCAAGGGCAGGGTCCGTACTGCCTCATAATCCTAATCCTACCTTCTACTAACTTGTTCCATTTTGTCGCTAGAGAGCTAACTATTTCTATTAATATGTTTATGTAATTTTTTTTTAAAATCATATAATGTTTCTAGTAAACCGCTACTAGTTAATTGGTTTAAGGTGAAAATAATGTTTATAAGTTGTAAAATACATGGATGGTATATGGGCAGGCGCTGGTGGCGCGGTTCGCGAGCCGCGCGCCCGTCGGGCACGTGCGCATGCGCGCGCTGTGGTCGCGCGTGCTGCGCGCTCTGCCGCACGCCGCGCGACGCGACGACGGCGGTCTGGCCGCGCTCGCCCCGCACTACCGCAGGTACATCCAGAACACGACCGCCTGGTCGCCGGTGCTGGAGTCGTGCGCCATCCTGGCGGAGACCATCGACCCCGCGCGCACCCCGCACGCCCTCACCACGCCCGTGAGTACCCACCCCACCCCACCCCACCTTACATTACTGCAAACTTTAAATAGAAAAACATATATTTTAAATAATCGTTAGTAATACATACATTAACGCTTTCAGTTGACGCTGAGCTGCGTGTGCGCGATGCTGGAGAAGGCGGCCACGCTGGTGAACACCCCGGAGGCGACGTCCAGCGAGCGCCAGTGGTACAAGTTCCTGAAGAGCCTCGCGCGCGCCCTCAAGAACACCGGCCTGGCGGTGGCGCGGCCCCTGCAGCCGCTGCCCGACTCCAAGGTCCTGCTTCACCTGAAGCAGCTCGACTCCAGGAGCACCATCGAGATCCTGCAACGGGGCAGAACCACCGCCGAGTTCGCGGACCTCACCAAGGCGGACGTGTCGGAGCAGCTCGTGAAGCATCTCTGCTGATACAAACATGACAGTCATGTCAACAGACACAGAGAGAGAGAGAGAGAGAGAGGCCTACATTATTTGGACGACAGTAATTATTTTGCATAGTAAATGATGACGGTTTAGTTTAGTGAAAAGTTACGATTTACTTTTGCCAACGTTCTCGATGAATGTGTTTACTCCTACACGGTAACAGTGCGGCGAGATGGCGGGCCGGGGGCAAACATTAACTTAATCTTTTTATAATAATTGTGTACATTCACATCTTTTATTTTAATATTTAACTTAATTTTGTTGCTTTTTAACATAACATTTGATTTACATTACTTTTAATTTATAAGTGACATTTGGTGGACGAAAATATTTTAGTAAATTGTGAGTTTGTAAAAAAGGGTTTTAATCAATGCAAAATGTTGACAAATTGTCATTCTAATATTATTTATGAACAGAATGACAAAATGACAAAATGGTCGCGTTTCATCATTTTACGTTGTTTATAAAAAATGGAACAAGAAACATTTATTTAAATAACTACATTGTAAATATTAAGATCGGAGAGAAATCGTTAATGCTTTTATATTCAGATATTTGTGAGATGAGGCAGAGGACGGCAGAGGACGGCAGAGGAAGGCAGAGGAAGGCAAACCATTGGATTTTATATATGGATGAAAATATGTTTACAATCCATTTAAATTCGTGGGGACATTTTTTTTATATAAAAGTTGTGGATTGATTTTTGAAAGTTTAAAAATGTAAAGTTTAGAAAGAGTGCGATCAGAGAGAGCGATAGTCTTTGTGTCAGTCAGTTCTTCAGGGCAAATGTGATAAACAATGGAAAAATCAATCCACAAGCGAGATGAGACGAGACGAGATGAGACGAGACGAGACGAGACGAGACGAGACGCAACAAAACCACATTTCGACATTTGTTTCAGGTTAATGTGTTTTTGGGATAAGATGAAATTGTTTGTCCGTGTCGTTGTGTTGTGTTGTGTTGTGAGTTAGCTTTCATCATCATTTGTAAATGTTACTTACACAAATTGTACTGTACAGTAACTTGTTGTTGTTGTTGTTGATGTTGTTGTTGCGTTGTGTTCTCACAACCTCTTGTGTCTATTGTATTGTGTGGGGGGGAGGGGAGAGGGGAGGGACATATATAAATGAAATGTAAGAAATGACCGATGGGTTCGCGATTTGGGACAGATGTCGTGACAATTATATTTTGAAGCGTATTTGGAAATGTTTATTTACACTTGTAAATCTGTTTTAAAGGAATCAACAAATTATTTTATATAGTATCGTGTAAGGGAAGCTTGAATAGAGTTTATGTGGGTCCGAGGCGGGCCGCGTGTAATGTCTTCATTTGTGTAAATAATGTTTGCGAAAGTGTAATTAGGTACAGGTAGTGCACGGACAGAGAGGAGGACCAGAGTGTGTACAACAAACGGCACACTGCGATTGTGTAAATAAAAGGGCGGGTTGTTGCGCTTCATTAAACCGTAAGCATATCTTATTTTGTTATTACAACCTTTTTTATTTTGTAAATTAATCTATTCATATCCAGCTCATGTAATGGAAGGAAATATAAAGTTTTTTTTACTACCTATTAGTAGTTTTTAGTTTTTTTTTTAATCAGTAAAATAAATTGATAATTTGTTTATAGTATTCACTTGGGTTTTATTTTCCTTGTAATTGTACGAGTACATAATCAGCTTTAGAAGTGTCAGAAAAACCTCGAGCGTGCCAGTTAAATAACAATAAGAGGGGAACAGCGCGTCCAATCAACTACATATTGCGCATACACACCACACAGAACTGTCCCCATGCAGCCGACATGTTACGATTGATGAAAATGTTCCTTCACGTCAGTTTGAAACAAGTTGAGTTTAATACGCGTTGCGTTAAAAAATGGTGAGATGAACAGTCACAAAATTAAAAGATGGTTTGGCAAAAGATTTGTTGCATCGACATAGATCGCAATCAATCTATGTTATTTGTGGTGGCACTTTGAGGACAATCAAAAATGAAAGCACATTATTAGCACATGATTTATTTTGTAGTAAGCTTAATTAAAAGTGGATAAATTATATTAACATATAGCGTTAACTCTCAAACAGCTGTTGTACCTTATCAATGTCTAATGTCGCACAGTTATCATGTGTATGACAACATTATTGCGATCCTTTTCATTATCTTTGAAAAAAAACACGAGACAACGATACCTGGTTTCATACGAGTGTTGTGGCAGTGGAAATGGTTGTATTTTCAACCATGACATAATTTTATTCATGACGTTATAAAAAATCCCTCAATAATTGTAAGTTGAGAGTTAACACTATTTGTACATATTTTAACTACTCGTATATATTTTTAGGCGTATTCTCGTATATAGTTTGTGTTCAGGAGAAGCTACACAGCTTCAATTCAGTCAACATGCTGAACACGGTCTCCACCAGCCTGTACTTCATGAGGAAAGGTGCGCGACGCGCGTCCACCGACCCGTACGACAGGTTCAGAGTGAACAGGTCCGGGTAGAACTGCAAAAATCTTGTCATGTTTAATCATATAGGAGCAGAGGAGATGAGAGAGAATCTGTAAGCCAAAACGACACGATTTAACGCCACGAGTTAAAATAGAATCGGTTGAGTAAAAGAAAAAAAGGGTATTTGTAAAAACAGAGGTATAATGCATGTGTACCTGCAGGCCAGCCAAGGGATCGAGGTTGAACTCTTGCGACAGCTCGGTGCAGTTCAGTATGGTGGCGTGCTGCGGCGTCGCGTGCAGCAGGCTGAACTTGCCCTGCAACAGATTGAATCAGTTACTAGTGGAATACTGATAGAGGTAGATGATGTTTTTTTTATATCATAAGGTGGCAAACGAGCGAGCGGCCACCTGAAATCGCTGAAATAGAAGTGACCGTTGCCCATAGACATACGCAATTGCATATGCGTTGCCTACCTTTAATCGACGGAGGAGAGGATGCACAAAAAGAAAATATTTTACCTTTCCATGCATCCTCTCATCCGGGGAGTCCACTTCAACTTCCCATCCTTTCCTTAAAAGAAAAGGGTGGGAAGGGAAAGAGAACTAAATTAGGCCTCCGGGACGCACACTCATTAGACGAAACTCGGAATTGCATCCACGTCACGCCTGTCTTCTGTGTGGTCGTGGTATTTCACCGGGCGAGCCGGGCCAATTCGTGCGAAGATGTTATAGCGGGCTCTACCACTGTTAACTGTTTTTATACTGATTTAAGCAGTAATATTCTTGAATGTAGAGTAGCATGTCTCGATATCTCTTATGTTTGATAATAGTACCCACAGTATCGCAAATTAGTGAACTGATGTCCGCACCTCTCTCTTTCTGTCAATTGCTTCTCGTATCTGCATCACGATGTTCCTGCTGCCGGCGGTAGCGTTCCATCTAGCGAGCAATAAACAGAACACAACAAATGTAAACATATTTTAAAAGGATGTTCTTACTACCTTAGTGAATTTTAACATTTGGATCTAAATTGTTATTATAGAACCTTAAATCCGCCAAGTGATGAACGAGTTCTTTGTTACCTGCTCCACTGGAAATTGTAGGCCCTGGCGAGGAAGGCCATAGCGTGGTAGGTGTGTCGCTCGCCCACCCACTCCTTGGGGCAGCTGCCCTCCACCAAGTTATGAGCGTCGAAGTCTGGGAAGAAGTCGCATGCTGCCTCGCGCATTATCTGTAAATTACAGCAAGTGGCGGCTCTCACCATACATCTAACATATAGAGTAATGAACCATTCAGCACTGTAATGTAACCTGTATCATCTTCTTAACGCTGTAGGGTTTTTGGAAGTGGTCCTTGAGCGCGGGCGTGGTGGCGTTGGCGATCCACTGCAGGCGCACCGAGCTGCCACAGCAAAGCCACGTCACGCTCACGCACACCCCCGTCACCGATATTATCACACCGTCGCTGGAACGCCCGACGTTTATATGAGAGAAAGTGGCAAACTACCAAACTGTATGTACGAGAGTTATCGCTCTTTAGGCCTCATTTAGGTCACCGGTCATCACATGGATCTAATAAATTTCGTTCACTTATGTCAATCAGAATCAATTAATTCTCACCTCTCGAGATCCGGCCGGACATCCCAGCCTTGGTAGGGCAAGTTGCTGTATCGCAATGTCGCAAAGCCGATCGGCCCTGTCGTTGCAAAGAAGTTCTATTTTTCTATGAATTGTTTTATTAAATATTGTTGAGAATGAATTAATGTTGATATGATTTTACATCAAAATGTTTCAATTAGCAGGTCCCAAACATATGGCGACCTGCATGCTCCTACTATCTTCTATCTGGAATAGCATAGATCGTCTTACAAAGCACTCCGGTACGGAACTGCACTGTGAGCTTGTCCTCGTTGAACTTGTAGTCGTTGATGTATGTGGTCATCCAGAGCCGACGCGGCTCGTACCACTGGCATACCACCGGTGGCTCCGACCACATCACCTCCTGCGGCAGTCTGCAATCACTTGCTATATGCATCCACCGTCCCTTCGTTTGAATTAGGAAATAGGCACTGGCGCGCAAGTAGCGAATGTTATGGGATCACTGTCAGAACAGCAAATAATTTATGGAAAACTAACCACCCTTCTTCCGATGTTACTGCATGTTATTTACTCATATGTACTTACTCGATGAAGACGAGCGCCAGATTCTCGTACTCGGCCTCTACGCGCTTGATCTCGGCCTCGATCTCCTCCGGGCTGCGCGTGACGCCGGGCGGCGGCGGTGAGGGCGCGCGGTAACGCACCTGGTACTTGCTCTGCTGCAGCCGCTTCGGCAGCTCCACTGCAACATGATATATCACATACAGATAATGTGGCAGAAGTCATTATTTGATAGAAGATTCTCTTTTATTTAGTTAATATCTTATCCTACAAATATACACTGACTGTGTAAATCAATGCAAACTGGAAAGTTAGAAATACTTGTATGAGTGAAACTGTCTGCTGCATTAATAACAATAATTTAAAATATTGGACAAAATTACGTTGTAAAATTACGAAATACTTGGCAAGAGCCACTGTGGCTAGTCCTTTCTATAGAAAGACACCGTTCATATTTTCCTAAAATAAATTTTGGGGCTGATTACTATGAACCAGCTGAGGTTTTTGTCGTTAATTTTCTAATTTTATTTAGTATTTTTTATTAAACCATATCAAAGTCAATGTAACTTGTTTCTAGTAGGTTCATTATCTTGCGATATATTTTTATATCTAAAAGTACAATATATATATATATGGTATATGAAATGCAACGATTTGGATTTTACTTGGAAGTGTTTCAACTAAACATTATTTGGAATTGACATAAAAATGAGTAAATTCAATAGAAAATTGCACTCTTTAAACTGTCTTATTTAACTTGCACCTTTTGGTTTTGGTCGAATATACCTTTAGTAGGAGGAAATAGAAATACTTATAGCAGTATTTCACACTGTCCAATTATTTGCAGTTTGGTAAAACATAAGAAAACATGCATGCATGTTATACATATGATAATTTTCGACTAATTTAATGGAAATTTAGCAAAAGGTAGTTCAGTGAAATATTTATAAAGGGTATGAATAACAATAATTATCGTGATCCGATAAAATATTGAGATTGCAGCTCAAAGCAACTAATGAAATTACAGTTTTCATTCTTATCATAAGATATATAATACAAATATATTACAACTCATTACATACACACACACACACACACGCACACAATAGCAAAGGATTTATTTGCGTTACATTTCCTAAAGGTGATTTATTAACAGTGATTGAAATATTGTTTGTTCTGTAATGTGTATGATTTAACAGTTTTGTAAAAAGTGTTTTTAACAGGACATAATGATGTAATTGTCAATGTTCCCCTCACCTCACCACACCTGGTCCCGGGACATGGCAATGCTGTGTTACGAGTGTTCACTATGAGGAGGAACCGATGTCTGTACACGTTGTACGAGGGAACGTTGAACAAATTAAAATGATTGTTACATACTTGTGAGTTATTTTAACATTATTAAAATGATAATAAATGATTGTAATCTACTTCTAAATATAAATATTTGTGAGAAGTTTGAATAACATTGAGACCAGTACTTTCTTATGCGAAGTCTTTGAAACTACTTTGAGTCATCGTCATATTTTAACCCTTCTTGTTACTAAAGAAATGTAGTCAATGGTTTTTCATGGAATGGTGGGTTCGTGCACCTTTATGTTCATCTGATTTACTGCAGCCAAAACGCGGCTCGACAACGCTGCTTTATTTCAGTCATGCTTTTCTGCAGTATATTTTGGCTGGTGGTGAGAGCGGCTACGACTGCGCCTCAGCTGAACGTCGACGGCTGCCTGACGGGGTATATGACGGATGTGCAGACCTGGGTCGACGCTCGCGGTCGCCTAACCAATACCGCACGTAAGACATAAGTACATTATATTATTGTATTCTATTACTATAACTTGTTTGAGTTTAAGAAATAAAGACAGTCTTATGAATACCAACTTCACCAGTTTGATGAGTTACCTATCTTAAGTTACTTCAGTAGTAGCAGTAGTAGTTCAGAATTACCTTAACTAAATAGCGGTAGTGAATTGTTTTGACCTCCTAGAATCAATACTTGTAATGCAATAATACGACGTCGCCTCGGGGATAATTGAAGTAAGAATAAAGTTTTAGCTATGTTATTTATATGAGAGCTGTCTATTTCATAAGAACCAAAACCCCAAAACCGCGACAAAATATTTCTCAGCCAGTGTTGAAACCATAGATTATCATTAGTTTCCTTGCAAAAGTAAGACTTGTTTTTGTAAAATAGGACATTATAATACCAACGAGCTATGTATGTGTCATGTTACTGCGAATGAATATGATTTACATTGCTGCCTTTGACATTCCAGCGCGGGCCAACAGAGTGGACGTGTCCTACCAGAACGGGACAATTCAGAAGCTCGTCGGTGCATTGAGGGAGTTTGAATGTACCCGGCAAGGCGCGGCCGGCGTCGTCAAGTACCTCAGCATGGCGAGATGTCAACTGCAGCAAGTGCCGAGGGTAAGTTCCTTAAATGTAAGCAGACTGATGTCAATCTTTAAATTGCAGTATTTCGGAGTTACAAAGACATTGTCAACCAAATTTACAACCTTTTGGATCTTTCATCCAAATGAATCTTTTTTAGAAATTGGAAATAGCATGAACAGAAGTATGTCATCATATTGTTTTGGTTTTGCTAGGTTTTTGGCTACGGCGATACTTGCGGACAAATACTTTCAACGACAGTAACATACCTGACGCTGTACGGAAATGACTTTGGGCCTAAAAGATCTCACGAAGCAGTGATAAAAATAAATAATAATATTGACGGTGAGTGTAATTGTAATCAATTTGTCGGAAGTTTACATTTATCTTCCAGTCGCACAAAATCAAAGCTCTTTTATGCGTAACATTATGTATATTATAAATTTTCAAATTTGTTCATTGCCAGATTCATGGTCATTTGGATTACGGGGAATTCGCTTTCAAAATCTCCGTGAGTTGGATCTAAGGCTCTGTGGCATCACTGAACTGGAGGATGGCATTTTCAGCAACATGATAAACCTTGATAAGCTGTATCTTGGAGAGAATAATATATATACAATCAGCGAACGCACCTTCAGGGGTCTAATGAGACTACGCCATTTAGATATAAGCAGAATCGATGGAGGTATCCATTTCGGCGATGTAAATGTTTTTACAGGAATGGAAAGTTTGAATGCATTAGATCTATCTTTTACAAAGCTTGCCCAGCGCGACCTGCTCGCGCTCAGAGCCGCAACTCGAAGTTTGCAAACATTGTCAATTTGTCATTCGGGATTGTCAAATCTGGGAACAAATTTTTTTTCAAACACATCAATCAGATTTCTAGATGTTTCGGGAAACTCAAATATTTTTGACGATATTGGAGCTCTAAGGGGCCTCGAATCCTCCTCGCAAGTGATATACGCTGGTGACGTCGCCTTGAGGCATATGCGAGTTTTTGAAAATTTAACTTCGTTAGAAATATTACGAGTATCCAATAATGAAATTAGTTCCATTGACAGAAATACAATTAGGAGCTTAAGAAATCTTCAGGTCTTGATTATGGATACGAATAGGCTAACGACGTGGTTTACTCCGATTATATCTTTGATGCCGAGGCTGAAGTTATTGTCGTTGAGAAATAACAACATTAACTTGATATCCGAGGACATGGTAACCGATTTTAGAAATCTATCGTACATCGGAGTATCGGGAAACAATATCGTGTGCAATTGTAATGCGAGAGAACTGTACGAAGTAGCCGCGAGGAACGAGAATGTTCGAGCTGACTCTCTCATCTACCCTCTGAACAATAAGGAAGTGAAAAGCGTGTTGTACCACACGGGCTTCAAAGATGTCAATCGTATGATAGCAGAACGGATGCGCCTGGAGCTGACTTGTTCCGACGGGGTGTGTGACGAGAGCGGTGCTATCGATGCGCCAGGTTCCTACCTCATCTTTGACTACGACCTTTCAAAGTACCACTGCATGCAGGCGATGGAAGGGAGGTCTTTGGCATTCGGCAGGGTACCGTTCTGTAAAACCCGCGAAGACATCGACTACGAAGACGTTATTGCCGAGACGTGGAATACATTGTATTTGTTGACAGTGCCTGCATTACTACTGCCTATTTGTATTTTAGGATATATTTTTAGGTGGAATGTCAGATATTTCTTTATAACTATAAGAAATTCTGCAATGTTGAGTTTAATTAACAAAGACGAAGTTATTGATGGTAAGTTCGATTTACCTTAATAACTAATTTAATTTTTTTGTCAAACTAGCTCAAGCTTATAAAACATTAGTATAATACATACAATAGGCTATTTCTTTTGAAACCGTAATACGAGGACTTAGGCAAATTAAACTTTAGTGTTTGTTTATTTATTTACGTAAAAGTTGAGTTTATACTTCAAAACATGGATTGACGATTATTTTTTCCAGAGAACACGATATTTAACTACGACGTGTTCGTGTCGTACTGCCACGAGGACCGTGACTGGGTGCTGGACCAGCTGCTGCCGCACGTCGAAGTCGACGCCAACGTCAGCGTCTGCCTGCACGAGAGGGACTTCATGGTGACCACTCCTCCTCCTCCGTCTTTTCCTTCTCACATCGCCTGCAGGCGATCACCACCGACTGTAACTCCTTTCGCTTCTCTGTTCCAGGTGGGATTGTCAATCCTCGAGAACATAGTTTCATGCATGGATCGCTCGAAGACTATCCTGCTGATCCTCTCGCAAAAGTTTCTGCTAAGTCAATGGTGCCAGTTTGAAATGCATCTTGCGCAGCACAGGTATACATTATCTTTTTATCACTTTACAAGCTAGATTCAGTTTGACAAAACTATTATGTGCATTAACAGTGGTGTGAAGCCTCAGCAGCGACGCACTGCACAATTCGGCTTCAATATTTACTGAACATTACATTCTTATTCGTACCACAAATTAATAGACATTTCTAGTATAATATATTCTCGGTCGTTCTACTCAGCAATACTTTCACAATTTTGGCAATTTAATGCATATTATACTGTTATTTCAATCTTTATTGCAGGCTTTTAGAAACAAGACGTGAAGATCTCATCCTAGTTCTGCTAGAAGAGATACCGCGTCGTGTCCGGCCCAACACGCTGCACTACCTCATGATGACCAATACGTACATCGTCTGGCCGCAGGAGGAGGCTGAACAACCCGTGTTCTGGAGACGATTGAATAAGAGTTTGATCACGCACAAAATGAGACAAAGCAGCACCGATTCTTTGGCGTGAATAAACATTCTAGTTAAAAAAGGATCTAATTGACAAGAGGACAGTCAAATCGCTATGCTTATTATGTAGACTGATTTACAGACATTGATGAAAGTTTTTTTTCTATATATTAGGCTTTACACAAATTAACATTAGACGCCTGGTTCTGATACTGATTAAATTGAGCTTAGGTTCAGATGTTTAATTATACATAACATTATAATTAAAGTATAATCATCGATCAGTTTAAAAACATTTATATCGATCTTGTTTATCTTTTGATATATGTTTTTTTTTTAAATACAAATACAGGATGTAACTTTTGGCGCATCTCCATGGTGCTCCAAAATACAATAAATTCTGATATTCTTTTATTTATATTTATCGATTATCAGACCTGACAATTGTACTATTAAAAGTGAAGCATTAAAAAATATCGGCCACGGATCAATTTATAGATTTATTGTGCTACTACTTGTAGATTTATTATGATAATCAAATTAAGAATGTGTAAGTGAAAATACAATTCTTCGGCGAATCAGAAAATAACATTGTATAAAGGTGATGTGTCCGATTGCGGAATTATAAAATGTGTTGTTGAGGAAGAGTCCGACATAACATTGCGGTTTTGTACAATCATTGTAATCACGATCTCACTGTCCACAGATAAGATACTCACATCGCTACGTCTCACATGTCCCACTTATCAAATTATCTTCTACTATTTTATTTTTGCGATAACATATAAAGATGTTCCAAAATTTAAACTTTGTAGGGATACCTTTTTATAAGAGTAAATCAATCTTTTAATTACTCACTCATCACTACATCATTTAACATGGAGCAAGTTAACATTAAGCAATGTAGTGATAAAGTCATGTTACATAATACGTTTCATTACTATATCCGGATCCAGGAAGAGATTATCTATGTACGTCGAGATCAAAATATAGCCATATTCAAGTTAGCTATCGAACACTTAATTTTGCAACATCCTGTATGTGATAGGATAGGTAAACATATTATCAGTCATTACGTGTTAACGTTCAATCATTCAGTATTTATATCACACGACTGTTCACATGTTTTGGAACTATTTTAATTTTAATTGTGCCTAAATTTTCTTTGTTATTGATTAAGAAAACAAGAATATTTTTTTTATTGGAGAATCGTTTGGACAAATTATAGTGTTTTCTGTGAAAGTTTAGATTTTTTTTTAGTATTTTTAGTAAAGTGATTTCTGTTTACTAACGAATTTTTATAAAAGGAAGGCGCACGATCTGTGGTCAGCAGCGAGTGGTGTCCGACCACAACGACGATGAACAAAATACTATTTTACTTGATTATTCAACTCAAAAGGATGCCATAATGCTATTGCTTTTATTGTAAGTTACATTATTTAACAAATAATTGATTTAAATAATATCTTATTTCATAGAAATTTTTTTTAACGTACAAATATATTAACTAAAGAAAACGTTGTTATTATCTAGATGTATAAGTTGTTTGAGAGATTCCTGCGCCAATAGGAATCTGCTTTCAATTGTTAGGTCAAACAGGACATCGCTTAGTTATTGATATTGCTTTTATTACTTTTTTCAATTGTCACTCAAGTTAAATTTTCGTTCGAATATATTTGACCGGCATACAATACTATCGCTGTTAGATATGATAAATATTAGAAGAGGATGAATTCAGATATGACGGCTGGCTGATGGAGATATAGGGAAGTGCAGTACATAAGTATTGTGCGGAGAGGACGAAGGGAGATGGGCAGCTTGATGATGCTAACATATGATAAGAATTACAACAATGGTATTATATCCGGCTCTTGGTGTTGATTTGGTAATTGTGCCGAGCTAGGTGTAGGAAGTCTGACAGTCTTGTGTCATTATTATCTATTAACTTAACCGTGACTTGTTCTGCTGAAACTCTACTACAAAAGCATAGTTATCCCTCTCATTGTCTTGGGCAAGACTCACACAACTTACAACTTGCGTGTCAGAGGCCTAATTTAATCCCCTTTCCTTTTCCACTCTTTTTTTGTGAGGACAGAATGGGAAGGGGAAGTAGATGTGACAGAGGAAGGGAGCATAGGAAAGGGAAATATTCTCTTTCTGTGCGTCACCTCCACCGTCGAATAAAGGTAGGTAACGCTTCTGCAATTGCGGATTTCGATGGGCAGCGGTCGATTCGCTTTTTGGGTTAACTCAAACGACCACTTACTCATTTGCCAACTTACGATGTAAAAAAAAACATTATCTGATGTTTCGGCAGTGGAAACTCAAAACAATTTCACCAATATGTTGGTGATCGTCAGGGTTACGGCGTCGGCTGCGCTGGCGAGCGCGAGCGCGCAGCCGCCGCCACAGGAGCGCTGCCTCACGGGCTACATGACGGACGTGCAGAGCTGGGTCGACGAGAGTGGCAAGCTCACTGAGAGAGCACGTAATCCTCACACTTTAACATTTTATTTTCCATACAAAAACTGACAACAACCTCATGTAATGTGGGTGAAGATGTGCTAAAAACGACACTGATTATACTTAACTCATAAAGAACCTCGAGACGTTGTTCGAAGGCTCAGTTAAATTAAACGTTTCCTAATTGTAGCGCGAGCACATAAGATCGATGTTTCGTATCAATCCAACGCGAACCGCAGGCTGCACAAGCAGCTGGAGACTTTCTCCTGCGCCAACAACTCCGTGCAGTACCTCAGCATGGCCAGGAATCAGCTCCTAGTGGTGCCCAAGGTACGTACATTATTCTATGATGTCACATGACATCATGACAATCTTAATTGACTGTCACGAGTAAGAAAGGTAAATCTGAATACTTAAAGTGCTGAATGCATTTATGTCATAAGAGGAATATTGTGTTATGATTGTTCCATAAATATTGACACCATTTTAGGAAGTCATTGCGATGGATATGCAATCGTAAATTTTCTTTTATACTCTCAATGTTTAGATATTCAGGTTAACCGATCCTTGTGGCCAGCCTCTTTCGGATACACTAGCGTATCTCACGCTGGCTGGGAACTTCTTCTACTCAAAAAACTTCGAGAGGCCCAAGTTCGAAGTGCAAATGAATGCGACTAATGCGATGAGCGTGCCTGCCGAGGTGGAAGGGTTTGGTGAGTGACCATTTAAACGTGTTAAGCATCTCGACATATTATTTCGACTTCTATTAAATTGATTTTATATAAAAAAATAAACCAAACGAACCGTGGCGTGGCTTTTGTCATGTTACGAATTGAATATAGAAAAATATTTCCTTAATCCATCTCTCCACCTCTAACCTAAGATTTTAGATTAGAAATATAAGGCCAGCAGCACTTTAGTCGGCGACTGCTTTGTCCACAGTTACTGAAGTGTGGTCCTCCGGCTTTCATGGGGTGAATCTTCAAAATCTACGTGAATTGGATTTACGTATGTGCGGCATCAGAGAATTGGAAGATTCCCCTTTCAAAAACATGCCAAACCTTGAAAAGCTATATCTCGGGGAAAACAATATTTATCAAATCAATGAAAAATCTTTCAACGGCGTGTCCAATCTGATTCACTTGGATATAAGCAGAAACTATGAATATAATACAAATGAAGTTTATCGAGGCTTGTACTTTGGCGACTTAAAAGTTTTCTCAAACTTGATACGATTACAAACATTGGATTTATCCTACACCAAGATGCGACAAGAAAACCTCCTTGCAATGAAAAAATTAAGAAGTTTGCTAAGTTTATCAATATGTCAGACGGAGTTGATAAATATGGAAGCGAGCTGGCTTGCGGGCACCTCGCTTAGATATTTAGATGTGTCCAGAAATCAAAACATATTTAAAGATAAGAAAGCTTTACGCGGTGTTAGATCTACTTTACAAGTAGTGTATGCTGACAATATCGCACTCAGCACTCTAGATGTTTTTGACAATTTATCTTCATTGGAAATATTACTAGTGGCGAATAATGAAATCGCCACAATAAAGAAAAAAATAGCTAAAAGTCTTACTAATCTCCAGGTATTGATTGTGGACATGAATAGACTCACGACCTGGTTCAGGCCCACTATGGTTTTGATGCCGAAGCTAAAATTTTTGTCAATGAGAAACAACAACATTAACTTAATTTCGGAAGAGATGGAAATGGATTTTGAGAATTTAAGGTACATTGGCATTTCAGGAAATTTCGTCGTGTGCAATTGCAATGCGAGAGAACTATTTTTGTTAGCTTTGAGGAACGAACAGATCCTGCCGAATGAGTTTATATTTCCACTTAATAATAATAGTGATGTAGGAGGGGCAGTATATCACACCGGATTCAGAGACATTAATTTTTTGATATCAAATAGACAGATCATCAAGTCGGTTTGCGCCAGCGGCGAGTGCAAGGAGGATCTCAATTCCAAATCTTCTGGGAACTTTCACTTGTTTGACTACAACGACGGCTCGTACATGTGCCTGCTTGCGGTCGAAGGCAGGACCACTCCGTTCGGTGCGGTACCGTCGTGCGGCGCGCGCACTCAACTCGATATCGATCATGTAATTTCGGATACTATGAACACATTATACTTTTTGGTAATACCTCTGTTTGTATTACCATTTTTTATATTTGGATATGTATTTAGAAGAAATATCAGATATTTCTTCATAACTATGAGGAATTCTACAATGATAAGTTTGATCAATAATGAAGATATTATAGACGGTGAGTATTATAGTATTATAACATAGTAGTAACGTAGTAGTAGTTTGTAATTGTATTGATTTTGATGAAAGTTGTAATTTCATAAACATTATTAGACAATGCCTGACTGTTTCCAGAGAACACGATATTTAACTACGACGTGTTCGTGTCGTACTGCCACGAGGACCGCGACTGGGTGCTGGACCAGCTGCTGCCGCACGTCGAAGTCGACGCCAACGTCAGCGTCTGCCTGCACGAGAGGGACTTCATGGTGACCACTCCTCCTCCTCCGTCTTTTCCTTCACACATCGCCTGCAGGCGATCACCACCGACTGTAACTCCTTTCGCTTCTCTGTTCCAGGTGGGATTGTCAATCCTCGAGAACATAGTTTCATGCATGGATCGCTCGAAGACTATCCTCCTGATCCTCTCGCAAAAGTTTCTGCTAAGTCAATGGTGCCAGTTTGAAATGCATCTTGCGCAGCACAGGTATACATAATCTTGTTTAAGAACTTTAACTTAAAATTAAATGTGTTGAAACGCCTTTAACTATAGTCAGTATAACGCGTGATATAATGCAATAGAACAAAGCATCTTTCTTTATTATTCTTTTTATTGCAGACTGCTGGAGACGAGACGGGAGGATCTGATTCTAGTGCTTCTAGAAGAAATCCCCCGACGTATGCGGCCTAACACCTTACACTACCTGATGCTGACCAATACGTACGTTGTCTGGCCAAAGGAAAAAGCTGAACAAATTTTGTTCTGGAGAAGACTGAATAAAAGTTTACTTGCACATAAATTGAGACAAGCGAACAATGATTCCATCGCATGATTAAATATACATTAGTTTAGGAAATGGCAGTTTACTGTTTTGTATTATTATTTATTCTAGTTTAAAGAATAGTATACAGTATAGTACATAGTCTTACCTTTTGTAGTTACAATTATTGAAACCTTTGCTTGTCTTAACTACGGCAAACATTACATTTGTCCATGGACAAAAAAAGTATTATCACTTGTTTTAATAACAAATGTATACCGTAGTTATAGCAAAATAAAAATAGTAGATGCATCAACTCACGTGTGGTGAGGGAGATTCCACCCGCCATGCGCTTGGCTTGCGGCGGAGTGGTCAGCAGATCCACGTTCAGGATACCACCACACACTCTGTCACAAAGAAATACTTAGTTTATAAACGTAGCCTTATTGCCCGAATTTAGTAAAAAAGAGAATCATTAAAGATTGGCCATGAGATCAATTTACAAAAAGTTTTCAAACCTTGTTATTTTTTACTTAATTGAAACATGAATTATTTGTATTCCCTATGCTCATATAAAGTTTTCTTTGTACTTATATTACTAACTGGCTGACATGTTTACGAGTACTACCGCTTTCACGTACCTGTATTTGCGCAGGTTGATTTCGCCCGGCTTCGTTTTATAATTACACTGTTTCAGATATTTTGTGAAAGCCAATTCTGGAAAAAGAATAAAATAAAAATGTTAAACACCTTTTGTTAGATTTTTACGTACACGACCAGTCCATCGTCCTGTATATTTTCTAACCAAATTATTTCTCACTGAACGAGCGAAATGAGCTGGGCAACCGTCGTTTTGGTGCCACATATCTCGTAATATGTTTAAAGGTACATCGTTCAGGAAATCCGGCAAATCATGAAAAGAGAAGATGACAATAATGTCTCACGCTGCTTATCTATCCCGCTCGTACCTCAAAATGTAAGAAAGGTTCTTTTATCTGAAACTGTAGCCGGAGACTGCCCTTTGAACAATTACTTAATAAAGTTCTTGGAAACTATGCCAAATAATCATTTTTTATTCTGATAAGGAAGTTCATAGAATTTTTTACAGGTTTTATCATAGTATTGTAGCATTTTACAAAGAATCTTGATGAGTTGCGTAACTTCATGACATATTGACGACATGCGACATTGCGACTTGATACTCTTGACACATTTTTTTACACAGTAGTAGTACATGTGAGAGTGCCTTAAAAGTTTCATCTGTCTTAATTAATAAGTAGCGGAATAATTTCAATTATAACTGTCTCTCAGACTTGTTTTATTGGTTTATTAACATTTATAATTTCTCACCATTTTGTTCAATAAAAAATGACCTGGGATCGGGGAGACCCTGCGGCTCGGCCATGTTTAAATTGTCCAATTCTTCTTTTTCTTTTTCGTTTTTCAAGAATCTGAAATGGTACGTACGTCATAAAACTTGATCGGTCATATAATTATGAGTATTTTGTACTAAATACCGATTCGGATATAAATTAATATTGATTATAGAGTAAATGTAAACTAATGCAACTTAAAATCTCTGGTTAGTTTTATATGAAGTTTCAAAGTTTGCTTACGGGTTACTTTTTATAAAAGTTTCTATTTCCTTTATCTTGGCCGCAATGTCCTTGTAAAACTTGCTGCGTACCTCCTCCTGTTCGGCCTTCAGCTTGTACGTCAACTCGTGCTCCTTGACGTTGAACGTGAACAAATCTGGTAAATTTATTTACAAAGGTGTTAGAATTGAAAATGAAATACCTGTCTGCATTCTGTGTATATTTCACCGGTAGAGTTTACCGATTGATGATGCGCTTGTTTGATCTCTATTGAATTGTGACGAATTCAATTAATACGACTATGGTAGTTAATTCTTCCGGATCAATTAGTATGCTACATATATTACTTTGATAATTACTTTTAACTCTGTTACTAACCTTCATACCTATTGTTTAAATCAGCGGCTAGAGGGAATGTCCTGGAGCGCTCGCTGAGCAGGTCGACGAGGGAGCGGGCAGCGCGCACGCACGCGCATGACCCGTCTATGATCTTTGGCAGCTTTATGGCCACCTTCATGGCCGGGAACGACAGCTCCACTGGCTCTCTGCCACCAGACAATGCTATTGTCAGCCGGGGTATCATTTTATTTATGATTATATATTAGTTACTTGATACCATTTACTTAATTGTCGTCAAGTGCTGGCTTTCTATCGTTGGGTCGTAACTTTTGACACAAAAACTAGTTCTGGTTGCTTGTCTAACAACGGTGATGAATACTGCTCGACTTTGGGCTTTTTCTATATGAATAACTTTTGGGACTATAACATCGCTAAGCTCAAGTTGATATTATTCAATCCACTTTTTTATTTAGTAGTTTGTCTCACGGTTCCGGCTCCACAGGTTTAGGTTTCCTGGTAGGCATCCTGACAGCGACCCAGAAGTTAAGCCGGAGGCCTTTGAACTCGCGCTCGTATGTGGTCAGCTTGATGGAGGGCCACTGGAACCGATGTTCCAGGTCCCGCAGCAGTGTATACGAAGCGAACTGGATGGCGTTGGACAGCTCCTCTCGGAGGGCCACGCGTACCTGAGAGTACCTAATAATACTGAGTATAAATATAGAAAGCAGTGGCTACATTAAATCATGTTTTCTTTTTAATAATAGTTTTTATTTATGAAATCATGCTAAGGGTGTGTTCGATGTAAATAAAAACAACCTCATTAAAATTTCGGATCTGGGAATCTGTGTACTGCCTCGTGTCAGCCGTTATCTCGTCAAGTAGATCCAGCATCTGTAATGAATTTGTTATTGATGGTTTTATTATTGTCACTTCCAAGAAAAGTATTGGCTAAGATGTTTTTAATTTTTCTGAGTTATTATTACCCTATTTACTGAAGGGTTTTTTCTATTTCTAGATGGTCTTTAAATGAATTATGTGAATAGAACCAATGTTGCAGTGTAAGCAATAGAAGCAGTAGTAGTGTTTACCGGCAAAACTTCTAGACAGCGTCTGTCGAGGTCGTTGTCGTCGCACATGTCCTGTTGCCGCCAGAGGTGCAGGTAGGTGTTCATCTGCGTGACGACGCGCGGGTCCGGCAGCCCGTCGCAGCGCAGGTACTGATGCCACTGTCAACACACACCACGCCACATTATATACTCCATATACCAAATATTTATAGTTCAGATGAAGTTTTACTGTTGACAAAATTAAAAGAATATTAGTAACCTGTGTGTTTGTGTTCGTAACTGTTGAGGTGTTCGATTAGAAGAAGTCTTGTGACGAGATACTGACTGACATATATATATATAATTATATATTAGAAGTTAGACTTCTATTTATAAATAGAACTTAGTTAATATCGGAAAACTAAATTGCATGCTTACTTCAGCTCTAAGATTTTTTCTCTTTTCGAACTCCAGCTTCTGCTGTTCAAATTCTGAAAGATAATTAAAATTATACGTTTCTGTCGTTTTTCATGATGAAATATGTAAATGTGATATCCCTACTTTGGAACAAATTGACAGTTTTTCGCAGCAAGTCTTTCCTGACCTCCATGTGCTCCTTGTCCTTGACCATGAGGGCGGCGCGCGCCCTCGCCTCCGCCAGCCGCTTCTCCTTGGCGCCCGCGAGAATTGCTTGTCTACAAACAATAATCTCTTATTTAAGCAAATAAGCGTTGGTACATCTTATTACTTACTTAGGATACTTCTACACTCCTCGGATCGTCGCTGAAAACTAAGATGAATACGAAGATGTGGTAGAAAATATTAATGTTAAACAATTTTATAATTACGTATACCTACACATCCTGACAGAGTGAAATTCAAAGAAGGATAATAAAAAAGATTAATTAAGATAATCTACCATAAAATAGATGGGATAACAAATTTCTTTAGAGTGCTAACCCTTAGGGATCAGCACTACTTTCTTTAAATTCATTTTGTATAACAACGATAAATGATTTACTACTTCCGCTACAAATACTTGCTGCCAAAATGTACAAGTACGTGGACGTAAGAAAACTAACTTTTCCGCTTCCTTTTCGGCTCGCCATTCCTCAATGCGCTGCAGCAGCCAGTTGTCTCTGTCTTTTTTGTTCATCTTTCTCCAGTTCGGAGGCTAAGTTATATTTAACTACTTGAGCATATAATAGTATAGTGTTAGACTATTTATTAAGTAAAATCTAGTGTTATATATCAGAGATGCATGTGTTATATAATAGATGTGAATTATATGTACACATTTTACACCAGGATTTTTGGAAAATATAAACAAATGCAAACTATAACATTTCAGTAAAACACAAGAAGATTCACATTTTTATATCATATCACCGATATAAATGAATATTTCAAATAAATTTTGATGAACAATCCGCGTATTATAATATAAATGAAGTACTTTCACTGAATTATATTATAATATATAATAAGTACAAAGACCGGTCTGCTCGGTGTCGCTGACACTCAACTCTGCACGGGAATACGTTGAATAATAAAAAGTTATAAGATATTTTTTCATGCATATTTCAGGTCGATGTAAAAAGTTTTTATGGTTTCATGTCAGAGGGGTTCGATGCGAGACGTTTATACGATTGAAGTCAGACAAGAAGTTTGCGTGAGTTTCGTCATTATCTTATACATATATTCCATGCACTAAAATATACTTCAGATAATAAATTAAAGGAACTTAGAATTCAAAATATTTGGATATGTGATATTAGGGACTTTTATTTTAACCAGATTATAAGACAATAATCACTGCACCGACAACTTCTTACCTTTTCAAATTCTGGTATTTCCTCCTTTTTCTTGTCTTTCTTCCCCTTTTTACCTCTTTTCTTTAATTTCGATTGATCTTCCTCTTCTTCTACCGGCGGTTCCTCTGCTATAAGTTGATTGTGTATATTAGTACGGACAAGTAATTGACAAATGAACTGTTCGTGCTACGTCTCTCTTAAAGTAACTAACTTTATATCAATGAATAACATTTGGACTTCATTTTTGTCCTTATTACCAAAACTAAACAGCGGAAGTCTAGTGTCGGCTGTTACTCTACATGAAGCAAACTCTCCTTCCATACCAAGCTATTATAGTTTGTTACAACAATGCCAGGAGCTTACCATCTGGTATGGATTCGTCGGACCAATCGAATGATGAAGTAGTCTTCTTAGCCACCGCCACCTGGCGAACATGACATTACATGTAAACTTATATAGCAAAGAGATTGTTTACAGAATTCTATCTCTATATACTTGTGAGGAATTGTGTGTCTACGTGTCAGAACAGTATCCGGTTTTGCTTTTAGTTTTGGGTAAAGAAAGTCGTTTAAACGATAATGGTAAATATGATATTATCCATAGCAACATATAATAACAACATTATTACCTCCTCTACCTTTCCCTTTTTGCCCTTCTTTTTCTTCGGTTTGATTTCTGAAAAACACGAATTCAGTTTATTTTTGATGTCTATATGTTACTTAGTTACTATTACATGCAGTCATCAGCATATTGTGTGACTGTATACCGTCACCCACTTTTCAATTATCTAATAAATTCACTTAAGTACGAACTTCAGGGCATTTTTATTACACTTTATTTGACTGTGTAAAGAAGGAAGGGGGCGAGCTTCCGTTGTCTTCGCAACTCCAGCATTGATCAAACATCACAAGTGACGTTGACACGTTTTGCTATACAATATTTATAAACCAAATTACTGTTATGCTGCTGAAAATACTTTTAATGAAAATTGTGAAATCAAAGAGCACAAAATATGATTGCTATTATATTGTTTTATTATTAAATACTGTTGTTGGTAAAACAACTATAGACTTTCCTTTCTATTTTTTAAAATACTGTTTTAATTTTTAATTTTGTCATGCAATGAACCCTTTTTATTACCTACTCTTAAACATGGTTACCTGGTTGAGTACAGAAATGTGAATATAAGAGCACTGACCTTCGACGGGCGGTGGCAGGGACTCGAAGGAGGCGCTAGTGTACGAGGTGTCGGTGTATTGCACCTCCTCCGGCGGCTGTTCCAGCTCCGTGGTGGCCACCAGCGTCTCCTCCAGCACCTCCGCCTCTGTATACAAGAAACATTGATTATCTCACAACCTCCCACTGAAACAACTAAGAAAGTATCAGGAATGGATGATTTTTTTGGATCTTCATTATTTCATCACCGTAGCAAAGATGTTCACTTCGGAGGTTTACGTAACAGAATAACAATTACCTGGGGGTTCTGCTCGTTCATTCTGAAAATTTAAAAGATATCTTTAACAATAATATATATATTTTCATACTTTGACCGTTACACCTGTTTGGGGAAATTATTAGGACTACTTATGTCATCAATGTAAATAAATAACTGTCGCCTGCAACTCCGTCCACGCGGACTAACAAGAACTTAATTGTTAGCCTATGCGTTCCTCCACATGACTATGTTATTTTTAAGGCGAAATACAGCCCGATCTACGGCCGATATGTATGGAGATACGTTATAACAAACAAACTTATATCATCCATTCATCTAAACTTTTAAGATGGAATTGAAATGTTGTAAGAACAGATTGAAACATAAAGTAAGAATAAATGAAGTAAGAAACGTCTTTTTCCACTTAACTTCTAAAAGGCAGTTGCGCAAGTTAAATAGTGGCATTAGAGCGATAGGTAATACAGTACTAATATTGTATTTGTAACAAAGGGTGTTTCATTAGATATATATGAATAATAATAGAAAATAACACACACATATATATATATATATATATATATATATATATATATATATATTATTCAACAATTTGATTAACCATGTTACATGTTACTTACTTTTTTCTTGTCTTTTTTTGCCATAATATTGATCTAATTTATATTATTAAAAATATAATGAACATTAAAATAGATATACAAAAGATTTAGTAAAAAATATTTGTACTAAATACATATAAATTTATAAAAAGACATTTAAATCACTGTGACATTATATGACAAAATATATTGAAGTCAATTCAAAAGTCATACGAATTCATTATATAGCCCACTAGCTGTCGCCCCCGACTCTGTCATCATTTAAAAAAAACTTCAGTAGTACCCGAGTTGTAGTATCTTAGTGGATCATAGCCATGTTCTATGTTCTACATCTTTGCCATATTTCATCGAGATCCAAGCAACCGTTCTGGAGATACCTTCAAAAAAACGTCCATCAGTCCATCCAAACATTCGCATTTATAATATTAGAAAGATATAGTAAGAAAGTTACAAATAGTTAAATTAAATCTGAACCGATGGCACTGACTCCTATAAACAGGTCAGTGACCGGTGGGCATAAGCAAAATTAAATTATGCCAGCTCACTAGCGCCCCCATGTCAACGTCAAAAATGATATGAATTAATATTAGTTAATTGCAATTCAAAACGAACTTTCGGGATCAAATACAACACAATTGCTTCCATATTACAATTATAAAACGTTCATTACTTATTATACTTACTTAAATATATTTTCCTTTAATAATAATTAGTGAATGATATAAATGTACAAATATATAATTATATCGATGTCCTCACAGATGTTACTGAAGAAGCGGCAATAAGCAATCATTTTGTACTTTGTATAATTTTTAATTGCAGATTAACAGTTAAGGTGAAGTTTTATAATTATAACGGTATTCAATTTAAAACAATTTTTTCCTATTAAAATAAAAAAATGGATGGAATAAAATCATTCAAAACCAAGTCGATCAATGTTGTATGGGATAATAAGAGATAATGAGACGAATCTCATCGTCATGACATCATCTGACTAAATATTAAATAATACTGACGGAACCACCAGGAACCCAATGGTTAAGGTTACGGATTTTCGTACGCGAGATCGAGGGTTCGAATCTCATCATCTGACTAATGTCGTAAATCATATCCTATCACAAAGGCTAGAACTTAGTTGAAATAAACATAAATATTTTACTATAAAATAACATTGTAACAGATATTCATATATAACACAAAAAAAACAAGTAGATATTGCAATTCTACCGTATGCAACAACATAAAGCATGGGATAAGCAAATTATAGTCAGCGATAACAGAATATAACGGTAATCAGTCATTCATTATAGCTGTATTCGCCTTAAAGCAGCAAACAATGTATCAGCACATAGCTACCGCCGCCGCCACCGCCGTCACCGCCGTCACCGCCGCATGCTGACGCCGATGGCCTCAGTTACATTTCAACAGAGCTCGTCACCGGTCTGCTCTACATTGTTGTGCAATTTATGTTCTTTTTATTACATTAAAAGGGAAATTATTTAAAACAGGTTTGTTAATACTTTAATATAATTAGTGTTAAAGAACACGGACGGCGACCTCGATCTTTTTCCAGTCCACTTACACTGAGGAAGGGCCTCCGAGGGGTGTTTTTACATCGAACTACGTATATTTTATAAAAAGATGCGTAGTTCGATGTAAAGTCTCTCACTTTTTCTAGGTTCTTTTTCTAGGGGTACGGAATATTTTTTTTTGTTTAAACTATTTGTTTGAAATGTTTTGCAGAGTGCGATGGGTTTCCTAGAAGAGCGGGATTTGAGCGCGGTGCCGCAGATCCCCGAGTACTATAAGGGGAAGACGCTCTTCATTACCGGAGGATCCGGTCAGTCTTCACATATAATTGTATTATACACCAAGTAACACAATCCACACATTATGATAATCAACTGAACCAAATTTACTGAAAGGAAAGTTCAAACAATTTACTTGTCGTTTGAGTAGAAACTACTGAAAATTGTCTCTTGAAACGTAAAACTAATTCCAATTATTTAAAAAAATAACTTAAGGAACGTGCCTTATATAATATACAAATGTTTACAGGAAGGACCTTACAAAGTAGAAAGAAAGAAATGCAATCATTATTAAACGCAGAAGTTTAGGTAGATTTTAAAAAATGTCTCGATCTCCAAACTATATGTGCTACATTTCTGTGCGATGTTAATTGTGTGACGTGATGTTGGCAGGCTTCATGGGCAAGGTGCTGGTGGAGAAGTTGCTGTACTCTTGCTCGGAGCTGGACAAGATCTACCTGCTTCTAAGAACCAAGAAGAATGTCAGGCCAGAAGACAGGCTGCAGGATATCTTCTCTTCGCCTGTCAGTTAACTTAGGCTATTCTTACATATCTCAGTGAAACACAAAATTATTTGTTTTATATGTTTATGCACACATAACATAGAAAACTAGTTAATTAGACGCCATCATTACTTAAAAATATCTAATCTTACTTTGGCAATTTGATTGCGACACTGAAAATGTCGTTGAAGTTTTTTCAATTTCATTGCAGTGTTTCGATCGTCTGAGGCAGGAAAGGCCTGGTCTATTCGAGTCCAAAGTGTTCGTTGTGTCCGGCGACGCCAGTGAAATAGGATTAGGTATGTTTAAACAACTTCGGACGCCGACACTCGTATCATTAGCAAGGCAAATGTTAACCTTTGGCCTAATTTCCCCCAGTGACAATGTCTGTTGAAGTAGCATTGTTATGAGAAATTAGCAATTTTATTGTAATTAAATCGGTTCAGTGGACTTCGTATACGGTAAATTTAATTTGCATAATATTGTTTGTTTTTATTTTTATAATATGTATATTGTATAAAACAGATTTAATAAGCTTGTGGAAATAAGGCTTGTAATTATGAAAAATAAAAAAAATTGAGTCAATCAAAAAAATTCAAATATAGTTTTTGGTTCATATTTTTAGGTTTATCCGTAGAAGATAGAGCTCTACTGGTGAATCGCGTTAACATCATATTCCACGTTGCAGCCAGCGTAAGGTGAGCTTTGAATTTAGAATGATATTGTATATATAATAAATATAACATTGTATTCAATCAATTCAATGAATTAAACGTTTATCCAGATTTGATGACCCCCTGGAAGTTGCGGCGCGTTTAAATCTGCGAGGCACGAGAGAAGTTGTAGAACTGGCAAAAGAAGTCAGGTTTTTGGAGGTAACAGCTCTAATAATATATCAAAGAGTCAAGTGATCTTATCACATTTAGAAGAACAAAGACTCTATTAAAAGTGTATACTTTTCTGCGGAGGACACATTTTCTAGAACTGTTTAATTCAGCATTGAACAGTGAAGTGATGATATTACTGTGGTGATCTGTATTTGTAGGTGTTGCTGCACGTATCCACATCGTACGCCAACACCAACCGGGACCCTATAGAGGAGATGCTGTACCCGCCGCTGGCGGACTGGCGCGACACCCTGCAGGTCTGCGAGGAGACTGACCACTACACACTAAAGGTTCTCACTCCCAAGTTAGTATTACTACAATACTACTTTATTTTATAACTGGGACACAAAGCATGGCATCTACCTATTTAATAATTTTCTGCCAAGTCGGTTTAGCCGTTTTTAAGTTATTTAGTTAGAAATACAAAGCAAGGAAATATCGGGAGATTTAGTGAAGGATCTTACAATAAAGGATTGTAGATAAATGTGTTATGTAAATATTGTGTCAGATATCTCGGGGAGCTGCCCAACACGTACACATTCACGAAGCAGCTGGCCGAGCACGTGGTGTACGAGCAGAGGGGACACCTGCCCGCAGTCATCATGCGACCCTCTATAGGTAAGTAGCTATTGTTACATTCAAACTTTACAAGCCTTTTGTTTGTTTATGTGTCACAACAAATTGTGTATACTTAATATGATTTTACTTAATTACGATACTTAAACTTTATTTTGTAAATATTCAATTTATAAATACTTCTTATAAAATATAATTATAATATATAATAATGGTATTTTTACTGTGGTACTTTTCACACATGAAATTAGTTGATTGATATTAGTTATATGAATGAAGATAAGAGAATATTGTTTATTTTTTTCAGTAATATCAACCCACCGAGAACCGATGCCGGGTTGGATCGAGAACTTCAATGGTCCAGTGGGAATCTTTGTCGCCAGTGGAAAAGGTGAGGAGAGTTTAACAGACATTTATGTGATGGACTTTTTATAAGATGTAGATAAATGTATGTAAACAAAGTGTATGTACACATTGTAGGTTAAACATCTTTTGTTTATAAACCTTATACTTTAGGTTTAAAGCTTATTCTTCTTAAATATTATAAATGCGAAAGCTTGGATGGATGGATGGATGGATGGATGTTTGTTTGAAGGTATCTCCGGAACGGTTACTAGTTACCTATACATGTGTCTTGTTTTTCTCGAGGGACATTTTCGTTTGTTACGTTTTGTCTTCAATTCCAGGAATACTGCGCAGTATGTACTCGAACCCTGAATTGGTATCTGATTACATGCCCGTTGACGTAGCAATAAAGGCCTTCATAGCCGCCGCGTGGGCTAGGGGCACCAAACCGTAAGTTTCCATGATTTCATTCATTAAACAAATATGTCTATGTCCATAGAATAGTTAAACAACTTTCACAGTTTTAGAATAAGACCTAAGAACGGAAAGTTTCCTTCAAGGTTAGAAACCATAGTTCCTGTAGTATGTAGTCATGGCGTGTTACATATAATTGTGTCAAAGGTTGGATCCATCGGATGACATCCCGGTGTACAACTGCTGCGCGGGCAACCTCAACAACATCACAGTTGCCGCGCTGCTGGACCTGGGCCGGCGGGTGGTGGCTGACATGCCGCTCAACGACGCGCTGTGGCCCGCAGGCGGCTCCATCACCACATATCAAACTGTCTACTACATCAATGTGCTCCTCGTGCATCTGCTGCCTGCGCTCTTCATTGATTTCATTTTGTGGATTGCGGGGAAGCCGCCTATGTCAGTATTATAAATATTTTAATGTAATTTAAACACAATTTGTGTATAGTGTGTTTATTATAGAATTTTATAGCTTTCTAGTTTTTTCAATATTCAGGTTAGTTAAAGTCCAACGCCGCATCTACATAGCGAACCTTGCACTTCGTTACTACCTGACGCAGCAATGGACGTTCACCAATAAAAACTTTGTGAAATTGCGGAGTAGCCTGCAGGAAGCAGATAAGGAAGACTTCTACTACGAGATGGAAGGCATCGACAAAGAAGAGTTCTTCAAACACAGCTGCATGGGCGGCAGGAAGTATCTGCTCAAAGAGAAAGATGAAGATCTGCCCAAGGCCAAAGCACATTATCACAGGTATTCCTTGTTCCAATCCACACCTTGAATCATAGACAAACTGCACGCTGAAACTCCTACATATAATACCAGACTATTTATGGAATAACAGTTAATTTCATATTACAATTGTCACAATATAACCTAAGATTAGTAAAGTTGGTGCAGAAATAGACGCCATGTAGACATTTTCCCGTTCTCTCAATTCGCCGTTGGATCGAAACGAGGTGTAGGGACAATCATCACAGTGTACAAGCTACTCGTGCAAGACACATTCATTGAAGCTTTATAATGATCTGTAAGGATTTGATGGATGTTTGTTAGAAGATATCTCCAGAACGGTTCTATGGATTTTTAAATTTGGTTTTTAAGTTTGGATATGCTGCTATTCCGCGCAGACGGAGTCGCGGAAAAAAGCTAATATGTGTGACAGTAGTCAGTATGTGTGTGTGTCAGTATTTGATTTGTTGCAGGATGATTATCGTGGACATTGTGGTGAGGTGCTTGTTCTATGGATTTGTTTTGTGGCGGCTGCTGCACGTCACCTTCGTCCAAGACTTACTACAAAATATTTACACTTTAATTTTTGAGTAATTATATACATATATTGTTTGACAATGACTTTATTATCAATCAAAACATCATAAACACAATGATGACCTAGCAAGTGGTCTTAACGAGCCGTCTCAGCGGAATTAACTTGCCATTTTCTAGTACAATATCATTGCTCAATTTGACATAATATGTGATGACTTGAGCGTGTGATACGTTAATAATTTTTATTTAAATATAATAAAACAAAATTTCAGTTTTTGATTTCTTTAATTTTTAAACATCACGGTACGCTTGGAATGAACCAAGTGCGAAATATACCGAGCACCATCCATCTTTTCTATAACTATATTGACTATATCTAGATAATTAAGAATTACGATATTTTATAAGACATGTAGATATATCACACAGGAAATAGTTAGGCATTAACATAACATCGACATCGACTAATAACTGAAGTTGTTATCAAGAAATATAAACAGTCGATGTATGTACAGTTGAGTTGACACGTAAAGGCAAGTAATAAGGCCAAGGAATGTCATGACATATAAAAATACACGTATAACTAGCATCATTCATTTCTTAAATATAATTATATAATAAATTTATATCATTTGAGTATTAATTAAGTAATGATCACATCGTACAATTAGTAAGCATAAATTTTTTTTACTAATTAATTTGAACGAACCTAAAGAACGAACGAAAATGTATTCTTTAAAATCCCATGTTAAATAAACAAATTATTAGACAAAACGTTGAATTATAAACATGTTGTATGTATAATGTTATGTTCACACATGAATGTGAATGTAACTATCACTAGCTAATTATTTGTACATACGTCATGTTTCAAAAAACTCATAATTATGTTCAGGTTCATTCAATTAAATCCTCCTAATGTCCACTGCTAAAGATAAACCATCATGTTATTGCTACATGCTGTTTTAATGAATTTATACAAGCACTGCTCACTGCTCAGTGCTCACTGCTCAGTGCTCAGTGCTCACTGCTCAGTGGTCAGTGCTCAGTGCTCAGTGTTCACTGCTCACTGCTCAGTGCTCGCTGCTCACTCTCACATACAAACAGATTCACAGAAGAACTACAAAATCACAGTAATCATGTCGCTTACCATTACAATCCTCTTATACGTGTAATAACTGAGCAAAGTGTAAGACCCTGCGTACACAAGGCGAGGAAATTCTCCATACTAATATTGTAAGGTTGCGTCGCGAAAATAACGTTGCACATGTCGGCGACGCGCGCCGGGTCATCTATGACATCGCATGGCAGTACTCGTTTAGCGACTAAAATCGACGAGTTTAGAAGATTTACATCGCCTTGCATAACGAAGTGTCTAACTCTTAATACTTACTGAGCGAGATAGTTTAATCTACACAACGGATATACTATTTAAAATAATACACTAAAACTACATCAGGTAGATAACGGCCCGAGTAGAAACGGCTCCGACACGATCCGCGCCTACTTGTGCTAACACTAAAACTAATATAATAAATATGAAGCTCCCTAATATTTGTAAAACCAAATATTCAGTTCACCAAATCGTCCGCGCAGTTCAAGATGTCGCCTCTCATCCAACAAAGAGCGCATGAAAATATTTAGTCCGACACAAATTCACTCGACACAGTTAAGCCTTCAATAAATCTGACGACTGACTGATTTGCATCATTTCACTCAGATGAATATTCAGTTACTTGGAAGCGAACACGACAATCTATATTTGGTTAAATAGTTAAATGCTAACGTCGTACAAACACTAAGAGGAAACCGAACTATGTAAAGAAATCGGTCCACATTCACTTGGAACGACAAGAGTCTGGTTCTGGCAAGATTTGATATAAGTCGTAGAGTCAGCCGATGTTTATGTAGAGTTGATTCTTGTGGGCGGAGAGGACGGAGGCGTCGTCGAAGTCGCTGCCGTCGTCGATCACCTCCAGATACTTGCATTCTTCGTCGCTGTCGCTTTGGTTGACAGGTTTGTAGTGTGAGTACTCCTCGCCGGAGTCGCTCCTCTCCGCCTCCGGATTTATCAGAGAATTTTTCCGTTCGTTGATCGCTTTCTTCACTTGAGACAGTTCACCTCTGATGGAACCTTTAACGTTTCCGACGGAGCCGTGGACTTTGTCGGACAGTTTGTTGCTCAGCTCTTTGATTTTCTCGCTGTGAGATTTTATGAAGCCGGGCTTCTTATCGTCGAATTGTGGATCGGAGTTGTCGGATTCTGTGTCGTGGAGAGGAATCTCGCAGGGCGCGTACACCGAATCGCCGCAGGACTTTTTGCTTTTCGTTTTCTCCTGATTGAACCAAAGGTTAGTTTTGAAGTTGAAGTTACATTTTCTGTTTTGGCCGTTGTTGTAATTTTTGAACATGATCTTGAAGGTGAGAATGTAGGTGGTGATGAGGATGAGAGCGGCGCCGATGATGAAGCAGAAGTACATCGCGCACTTCTCTACGACGGGGAGCACGTTCAGGTACAAGTTGAACCTTTGCTCCAACGAGGGCGTCAAACTGTACATTCTCTGAAATTAACAAAACTCTATATATTATAATTTGTACTGGAGCACGATGTCATACGTCAGAAATAGATGACGAGACTCACGATATCGAACCAGAGCATGGGCAGGTACATGTTGGAGAACCTCTCGGTGTTTGTGATCATGGAGATGTCGTCGAGCGCCATGTTGATCTGGAACTTGGAGCTCACGTCCAGAGGGAGACCCGAGTCCGGCTGAATCCAAAACCTGGACATGAAGTTAGCATCAGATGACGGATTCGTTAAGAATGTACTTCGTGTAAAAGTGCGCAAGTAACACTATCTAATAGTTAATACACACCGAGTTTCATGATCCTCCTTGTTGGGGGTGAGGCCCTCCACTTTGCTGAAGAGGACGTCGTCCCCCTTGTAGAAGTGAGGGTAAGAGAGGGCGATGGGGAAGCCGTAGTAGCAGTCCGTCACGTCGATCAGACCCTCCGGCAGACATTTACCTGCAGAGATGCAGAACATTAGACAATTTTGATGTGATGTGATTGTTCTGCGCCTGAACAGAGTCATTTGAAGTTCTGAAAGTATTGGACGTACGAAAGATATAACATCGGGTTGTATGTTTACCTTTTCTGCAGAAACATTTGTTCTCCTTAATGTTCTTGCCGTTGTCGAGCATGTGCTCCGGGAACGTGTACATGAAGCCCTTGAGACCGCCTCTCACGCCCTCGCCGACGGGAATCTGCAAACAATCATCTTATGTTCACATTCTTATAAATTTAACATTTAAACAATACTTGATTAATTTATAGACTTTTCGTGAGTGAATTCGAATGATTCATAAATAAATTGTTTTGCTAGTTGTAAATATAAAGAGTGTTGTATCGCGGCATTCGGCGGTGAGATGTGTTACCAGAGGCGCGGCCCTGCAGAGACTCTTCCTGTAGAAGAGAATGGACTGGTTGTGGGAGACGCCGCTCTTGAACTTGGTGCCGTCGGAAGCAAACTGCACGTTGGAGCAATGGCGGTCCTCCCACTGCGGCAGCTGCGTGGAGCCGCGGTACGTGTCGATGAGGCCGGAGTTGGTGACGTCGTCAGTGCCGGTGAAGATCGTCTCGTAGTCGCCCTCGAAGTCGTACATCTGGAGGTTGACGACGAACAAAAATGTGATCATTATATCCAGGAGGCAAACGCTAAGAAGCGGATTAAACTTATAATTATAAAGAATTGTGCACATATATTAAATATGGCCCGTCCGTTTGGAACAAGAGAACAAAAAATGTATAATTAGCATATGTGTATAAGTTACCCGATCGATGAGGCCGAGTTTGTCGAAGTATATCCATCCCGGCATGAAGGTGTTGCCGAGGGTCATCAGCTTGGAGCTGTATCCCATCATGAACTCGCGCGCGGTCATGCGCGCCAGCGGCCGCGTGTTCGTCAGAGATATCAGGTTGTTCAGTCCGAAGCGCGTCATGAAACTCTGCTTCGACACCACGTTCGCGATGCTCTGCAATTTTCATACTTTTGAAGTGTAATGTTCACAAGACATCAATCTCTTCATCATTCTCAGCACTAACTATGTCTTAAACATGAATCTTTTAAAACTTTGCTTCACGACACTTAGCTTTAGGATATAGGAAAGTGTTCTTACACTCTTGTTTAACAATATCATTTTAAATGTGACTATGAAGTAATAAGTATTTATTTGTTTATTTTTGAATTTAATTCATGTGTAGTAATTAATATTAGTGTTCTTATAATGAACATTTTGTAACGTTTGTTTGACAATATGAATTGTAACAAATAATGGGTGTTGTTTGCATGTTGCAAGTCCGCATCGGGTAGCCAGGTGGCGTAATTCCTATTAAGTATAATAATTACAAAAGCAGAACTTGCGAAGGTGAAATATGTTAAAGTCTCGAACCTTCCACTCGGTGGCAATACAACTAACTGGGACCGAAACTAAACATACTTATGTAGTAGTTACTTTATACTTTGATATAATTAAGTAAGTAAGCAACGTAATCTAAAATATATAACTGGGGTGAAATGACTTAACTAAATTAGCGAGTACCAGTAAATTAGTAGTTCTAAAACGGAACAATAATGAGTTTGTGTTTACAATATATGTACCAGTAGTGCGATGTGCGGCATGTAGACTACATCGTCCTCCTTGTTGCCCTCGGACAGCTCCTCCTCCCAGGCGAGCGGGTGTCGCGGGATGGCGGACAGCGTGCCGTTCTCGTTGAACTGCACCACCTCGTGCTCCAGCCGCTCTCTGAACATTCAATCGCCTTCTTTATTACATCACTTTCTAATATTATCATTTTTTTGCGATATGTTGAGGATTTTTATATTCCTGATGAAAAGCTATAAAATATATGACATCAATGTACGTATAAAATAACGCTATCAATTAACCAGTAGTGTTTTAATGAATAAACATAGTCATAGTTTTTACAAATTAGATTAAAGAAGCCATATTATCACAAGTATCAACATTAAGTGTAAGTACTATTTACTTCATTTTGAATAAATACCACATTTTCCTCTGTTAACATTACTATGTTATTATCTATTGTACGTGAGTAATAACTATCATTCGTAAACACAAAATCTCTAAATCTTCGTCTTTGTCGTTACAGTCTTTTCAGACTGGTCGTGGTCATCAAGTATCAGTGACCCGCTTTACCAGGCACCGCCACTCCTCCCTAGGCGCTGCCTTTTAGTACCTTGGTGTAGGGGGACATCTAATAAAAATGCAAAGTACCTGTAGACGTAGGGGCCGACCTCCTGTAGCTTGAGCTTGTCGTGCTTGCCCGCCATGTACTCCTCCGCGTTCGTCACGTTGAATAGATACACGCGGCAGTACAGCTTCACCTCGGGCTTGCGCCACATCTCGAATATCTCCCCGCCCTCTTCCAGGATCGCTTTCTACCATACAAAATTAACATTTCTAATTATTTTGTTACTTTCATCACAGACTGTAAGTAGCTCTCTCGTACTTTTTGCCATGTAATTATCACTTCGCTTATTTGGCGAATATCGTAGTAATCGCTTTACAATTTTAGTTGCTCGGTCGTTTGCCGCTTTGTGCTATTAAAATGGTAACATTTGCAAAAGTAACAAAAACAATTTTAATGTTAACTATGTTTTGCGTGTTCTTTTTTTATTTGTAAATATATAAAACCCATTTTTTGCAAGTATTATAATTAAATATTGGTATTTACTGGCACAACTGGATTTGATCTCCTTGTAAAATTCACAACAACATGTTAAGTAGCCACAAAAAAGATACTATCTGCATATTTATTATAATTTAATATAATATTATTATCTTTTGAATAATTTGTTCTGTATATGTTAATTATTGTGGTGGGTTTCCGCTGCGGGAACACACTATGAAACCTTAGTGTGCTCTCTGTATTTTCAAAGATATGGGGCTTGATGGCGATATCTATTGACACAAATGTATAAACAGTGGAACCCCACGGTACGTTCTCGTATTAAATTAATAATATTGGGTCACATTAACATTACAATGGCTAGTTCTTATATAAAATAACAAACAATAGAGACGTAATGGTTGCTTACCTGACTGAAGAAGAAGTCGTAAGGTCGCAGGAACAAAATGAAACACGCCGCTCCGAGCGAGAAGAACCCTAGCATGAGGAACAGGAACAGACCTGGAAATAAAGCATTAACATATCTGTATCTCGATACTCTATGTATGTTATTCACGTAAGGGCCTGTATTTTTTTTTAATCTGGTAATAAATTAAAACAGCATAATATTGAATTTAAATATTTGCAATTTATATAACACAAATAAAAAAAGCAGACGAATTGATAACCTCCTTCTCTTTGAAGTCGGCTAAAGAAAACTTAAAAAAAAATAAGCGTGTTAGTTGAAATCTTAGTGTTTTATTATAAGAAATAATGTGGTTGTGTTGCGTTATTGCACGCATTAAGTCATAAAATGTGATCTATAATTTAGTATCAATAACACACCTAATTGGTCAGGGTCAGTATTGGTGAGACAGGAACTCTGGCAAGTTAACTTACGTGACTCAGAAGCATTCGACCTCATTGGATCAACCTTATTACAGAGAAATCAGTATAAAATATAATCCATGTTGTATCTTAAGATCAGTTAAAGCATTGTCTAATTCCGTGATAAAAGTTTATCAGAATCTTGACCTGAGCAGACAACATAAACGGAAGTGACGATTTCACACATTTTTCAGTAAAGGTCGAAGGAGAAATGTATCTATTCAACATTCCGATATGGTAATAATTTTAAGACAAATAAAGTTCAAAGACGACCAGTATATGTAATTAGTCAAAACACCGGCGGCGACCTCTGGTGATTAGAGGCCACTTCCGTTACGAGGCCGGACGACCTCATCTTATGCAGATTTTGACCACATAACGGTCCGCGAAGGAGTCAAGGTGCCGCAAAGCGAAATGGTAATCGATGGCCGTAAATTAAATGTAACAAAAATACCAAACACGTGTTTTAGAAATGCCGGATTAAAATTCGTTTTGGGGCCGGTTTATTTCTATTCTTGTTGCATTTTTATTAAATTTAATTCTGTGTTTCGAGCTAAAAAGTCATAGTTGTTTTTATTATTGGCTTCCAATAAATATAATGCTTGTAAGAAGACACGATTTCATAAACTTTAATGACAAGAGTAGAAAATGTAATTTCAAGACTCGATAGAGTTTCAAATTCTACCGTCACCGATGTTTGGCATACTACAACGATGAGGTTTTCGCGTAACTTCGAACCTCGTACAGCTGCGTTGTGGAGTACTCTGTCCTAGGTGGTATTCTTACACAGTTACAACTAAGGGACCTTTAAGAAGGAAGCGTCAACATTTCCTTTGAAGGCCGAAAACGCATTTGAGGTTTCTCTGGTGTTGCTCGTTTGTTCCAGAAAAGAAGAGTTTTGTTAACGCACAAAAACACACAGTATACTTTCATATGAACTCTTCGTCGTTTCCTGCAGGTTTATTATAATATAATGTAGACATATTTGGGAATATAGTCATAAAAAACCAATCAAAAAACAGATATTAATGCAAATTAAATCCGTTACGGAGTTTCATTCAAAAATGATTCGTTCCGTTGACCTTGTACACTCATCTAACTTGTTGAATATAACTAATAATATAATTTAATAGTTTGTGATACTTTACAAAATATACGTTTTTCTAAATTACGTATTTTCTATAATCCTTCCACGAGCCCTAACATGTCTCGTAACTATTAGTTAACTAATTGATTAATTATATTTAGTGGTCGAAAATCAGAAAAGAAAGTCTATTTCTCTACGTCTAATATGATATGTTCTCGAACTGTAGGAAACTAGTGGCACAGATTCAGCCTGTTAACTCTTTTGAACCGTACATACATATTCTTAGTCAGTAGCAAAAGTAAATATTAAGCGATGCTAATGTTAATATTCATTTCATTTAATCTATTAAATTAAAATTACATTGATTCACATAATATAAACGAATTTTTGGATAAAAATTCTAGAAATATATTAAACATCGTTTTGATGTATTATAATAATTAGATCAAGTGGACTTTATACAAGGTCGGAGCAGTCGAGTCTTGATCAACATATAATTAAGGTAATCGCTTCCTCTATAAAATATTATCTGCTCAAAGAATAGGTTCATATCTATTATTTTTAATAAATAGAAGAAAGATAATCTAACTCCGAAGGTAGAGGAAGACCAAAGAGAGTATGGATGTATTATGTGAAAGAGGATATGCGTAAGAAGGGGAAGGAATTCAAACATGACGGCTCATGGAGATGTATGAAGGATTAGTACATACTGTGCTTGTGATCCTCCGAATTTACTTGCAAATTAAAAAATAATTTTACAATTATCTTTAAATTCTTTTGTTTAAAATTAAATCTCTTATTGCTCAATTTCAATTGCAATTTTAATCAAATAATTTAGATATAATGGTGCTGGAACTGGTGTTATGTTTTTTTTTTTTGCGCAGACATAAGATCATTGTATTAAATATTAAAATATATATTAATAAATTGATAACCTCGTACACTGTTCCGGGTATAAATATACTTGTTTTTCTACTGAATTGAAACTGGATTGAACTTTGAAGACTAAGACTAAGTTTTTTTAGTTAATTAAGACAAATTTACATATGTAAATAACTAAATGATTAATTAAATGAAATCTATAGAAAATATTGAATACATGACAGTTATCGATGTTTTAAAGTTGCAATTAAACTACAGTGATACAAGAATAGTTAAGAAACACATCGAAAAGTTTCCACCGCATCGCATTAAACCATATTGAAGTTAAAAAAAATCAATTAACTTTACATTTGGCTAATGAACAAAAAGTGTAATTACTATTAGACGTACTTGAGTAAAGATTTTATAATCGTGATAAAAATATAGCGAAATAATAGTATTGTGGATGACTAAAAAGGAACACGAAAGAAAGTAAGGATGGATTGTGTAAAATGCTGCATGCAGACGGCTCATAGAGATTTATGGAGGAATTGTACACAGTGTTCCGAACCCCTCAAAGATAAGGGAAGGTGGACGATGATGATAATAAAAATATAGCAATGGAATGTAATAAAAGTGCCATTTTATTCGCACACCAAAACATGGCACTGATAATAATTCAATTGAAAGCCTGACTGGTTTAATCCTTATAACAGTTGGAGGAAGAATACGTTTAATTGTTTTAGTTTTCAATAAATATAAAATTTTACATTTTACAATATAACACACCAATATAAATTAAGTACATAACCGGCTACGACATTATTTGCTGCAACAACCATATAAATATTTACAGTATCATGAAATATGTTAAATAATTATCTCAAAGTATCAAGAAAATGATACGAGTTATTGTTCAGTAAGGTAATTAATTGTCATTTCAACATCTGGTAGTTAGTTTTTTAACTAATCTTGTAATAATTATTAATTTTACGATAGATACGAAATATCAGGTTATATGTATATTAGAATCTAAAGTCGTACGATGCTAGTAATTAATAGAGTAATATTTAAAAAAATTAAGGTTATAAAAAAGATAAAAAATCAGAAAAAAACGAATGTCTAAAGCTCTTTGATAAGATACGATCTTTATGTATCAATCAATTTCAATAACCACAATAGTTTTTTTTACTGCCGACACAGTTTAGTTTTTCCCTGTTTTTTTTGACACCGAACAAACTTATAAAACTTTGAATGGCACCGCACGTCAAAGAGTAAGTATTAATTTTAAAATACAGACACGCCACAAAAACAAATAATACTTGTCATGATAACAAGTTAATTTTATTACTAATTTACAAAAAAACTGTAAGATAACTTTAATATAAAATACGTTAATTATATACTTAAATAATTTGAGTTGTATTCATGTCTTAAAATAGATAGGTTGTTTGTAGCATCAAACCCGGATCTAAATTATAAACCTAAAAAACGTCGTGGAAATATTTTATATCGTGTGAAATGTCATTAACGTTAATTGAACATTATTTTTGTAATCGAAAATTAGGCGGTCAAAGAATTAACCTCGATAAAGCAAAATGTACGTGTTATATATTGGTAAAGTCGTTAGTCGCAGTCGCGTGTTCAAAGAACAAAGGAATATTTTTAAAATAGTACTATTTTTTATTTAAATCGCCTATGCAGCATACCTTGAAGTCATCATTGTTGACTTTCCCTCGACCAGTTGCTTAAGCTCGAAAGACGAAGACAAAAACATTCTGGAAAGAGGATTTACAGCAGTACCGATTTAAACTTGCCTTCAGACCGAACTGGAAATTTACTAGAATCTAATGTTATTATTCCATCTTACCTTAATTTGCTAATTGCATGACTTGACATCATCATGATGCATCAATTTTTACAATATAACAAATTATACTCTAAATGCGCATAGGCAAATTTTTTCTGACACCTAATTACTCATGTTTTTTTTCGCTTACTCAATTAAATCCGAGCATATTTTGTTTCAGAGGGGTGGTAAAAAGTTGGTCGTGTCGGTTGATTCTTATCTTGTCTAATGCCTCTAAGAAGTGATAAAAAACATAATTGCAAATGTTATTTACTACTCGCCTTTAATACGATGTACTCCTTATACCATGAATATACATATTTTGAACAAAGGCTAATTTGGAAAGCCCGTACCAAACGTGGCGGCTAACGGGAATGACGCCACAGTGCGGATTACGGTTCAAGTTCATAACAAGATGGCTGCAAATTATTCGCTTACATGTTGTATTTGTGTCGATGTTACTGTAACTTTAGGAGCTTGTTGGTTGATGGTTTAGATGAGCATTTATTCAGAAAATTTTACATTATTGAAATAACTTTAATTATAATTCAACTATTGTACTTAGAGAAGATAAAAGGCTAAATTTAACAAATGTATACTAAATCAATAGATCGATAGATCGACAAGACACGGATTAACTAAATGTATTTCTCAACATTACTTTTAATGTAAATTAATACTTTGCGTCAACTTAAAATTTATTAATTTTTTATCAAATAACCACCAAATTTCATACACCGTCACTAAACAAAATTTGTCTCTGAGAGGCAATATTTAATCACAAAGCTTTGTCATTTCTGCGATAAAACGCTCTTATATCAAGCACGCGTATGTATG